TTTTTTTTTTTTTTTTTTTTTTGAAGATGATTTTGAAATTGTAAACATTCGTTAAAATACATTCGTCGTTTTTTCTCTGTTTTATCTGGAACGTTAGGATTAGAAAAGGATTTTCTTGAATTTTTGTATGTTCTGCGACGTTCAACGTTCAATAAAATTGCGTTCAATAAAAATTTAAGAGGTCTTCATATAGGAGAAACTTTATTCTTCAAAATGGTGGAATCTAGTTATGAAAAAAAAAAAAAAATTTCGCGCACGTTTGAATTTTTACAATTTTAAAAGAAAAATGTATTCTTACTTTTCAGCTCATTACATGATGTAGAATCATGTTTGAAAAGAACGAACTCACGACAGTCAAATTAGAGAGACTTTGCACTTCAAGGTGAGATGTCAGTTCAAATTCTCGACAATTTCTCATTGTCATTGGCGCGGTTATCCTCTTTTGTACAACACTATACTAGCAAACCAAAGTCAATGAAAATCGAACCGCCGAGTCTTAAAAGTAACTTGAGCCTACAGTGTACAGTGTAATTGTGCGAAATAATAGTCGCAGAGGGTGAGAGAATGCGTTCGCAAACGGAGCTCCACCAGCAAGTTCGAGTCCTCGCCGCGACTGAACGACGACGATTGGATCATAAGCAGTTCCACGCCACCCTTGTTCTCCTTCTCCGAGTCCGAGATGGATCAGTTGTAGATTGTCCCCTACAGAGACACGAGATAAGCGTTCAATATTTTTCAAATTTCAAGTTTTTCAAGGATTTCTTGAACACGGAACTGTCGAGCCGTAGAGTTTATTCAACATTATATTCAACTCTCATCTAGTTAGTATTGCCAGAAGATTGCCAGATCACCGAACTTTTTGCCACTCGTTATCGATTCGTAAATTCTTTCTACGTGCTCTGCCAATCAGCTCGCCCAGAATCCCAGATTGTTGCAACCTGTGCGAACAAGGAGAGCGCGGAAAGTGAAAAGAGACGGACGAGTTCCCGCGAGAAAGAGAAACGCGAGAGAGAGAGAGAGAGAGAGAAGTCAAAGTGCTCGAAGACGCGGCAACAATCAAAATGTAGAGACACGTCGATTGCCGATTGGTCCAACAGAAGTTCGACCACATCATTAGACGAGACTGACCGTGTCTCTCTGTGTAACTGTGGTTTCCTTTGAGGGGAAGTCGAGACGAGTGAGCGTACACTCGATAGCCAGCCGAGCGGAAATGCATAAACGACCAACAGACAGATGGGTCAGGACAGGCCTTTTCTACGTTCTCTCATCGAGTCGAAAAGGAACAAGGCCACCACGCTCCAGCCTTTCTCTCGCCAGTCTCTCCACGTGTATGAGTGTAGCATTCGACAACGGGGCAACCATTTCTCTATTAAACGAAGGGTCCAGGCTGAAGCTTGTTGGAAAAACTGACGTCGCCACTTCACGATCAAAAGAAAAGAAATCTCGCTCTCCGTTCGTACGCTAAAACGCTTGTCATTTGCTGGAAATTACGTTTCTTTTACTGCGCTGGCCCGGTCTCTTCCTTATCCGGTTTCTGTTTCTCTTGAGAAAGTGTCTTTTCCTTTTTTTTTTTGACGACATAAAAATTGTTTCGTGATCCTTTTGATTCCGAAGGAAAATTCCGATTGCACAGAACGAGGAAGAGGAGAAAAGTCCAAGTATTTACAGCCTGCATTTGTCGTTGCATCGTTACTTTGTAAATTATTTATTGTGCAAAAGGATTCTGACTAACAAACGTATCTCAGATACGTTTATTTCAGTTGACAATTAAATGTTAAAGACAGTGCGTAAAATTGAAAAAGAAGTTCTTGTCAAGGAATGATTAACAGCTACCTATTAATCTAAACGTAGAGTGTTAATCAATCTGCACTTTTAAGTT